CACAATCACAAACACAACCACAACCACAACACAGCACACAACCACAACCACAACACACAACCGCAGCACACAACCCGAGGACCCACAAGCAAAATCGAGAACTACATTACTCACAACCATGGCAACATGCTCCTCACTATGGCATCAAGTCAAATGATTGAAATGTCATGGTGGGGATCACTCGAAGTAAAGTAATTGGAACAGCCAAACGAGGCATTTGCAAGTACTGTAGTGCTATTCACAAGCAATACCAGGTCAACAATCTTAGAACTATTTGCACTGATGTTTTTGCGATTAAACACGCGTGTTCCATCCTAATCAAGAAGGACTATACACATACACCTATCACAAGCATGATCCAACCACTTGCATCAAATATTTTTGGTGTGTGATAAAATGAATACACCCAGTTGTGGTTGCGCCCACAACTATATAAATTTATCATGATTTATCCAATTCTGATCATGATTGTCTAGACAACGACACAATTGTTTGTCCTTGCTTCCGAATGATTGTAAGATGGTTATTCAGACTTTCAGCCCTTTCTATTGTGTTGTCCCTCCTCCTCCTGAAATCTTCCCTCAGGACTTGTAGCAATTGAGCTCCCCTTTAGAACAACCCGTTTTCCCACAACAGTCGCCTTTCTATAAAGTAGATGTCACATAGACATATATAAGCATGCAACCCAACATCCTATCTTGCAGTCAAGCACATAAGAAGAAGCAGCGGACCAGCAGTCGACACTCCAGTTCATGGCGCCAGGCCCGACGGCGATGCGCCAGTGCAGAGCTCTTCGTTACCTTTGTATCAGGTGGGAGCGGCAGATTCGGTGGCGGGTCAACGTTCATTAGTGATGAATAGTGATGATTTGATGACCTGGCTTGGCCATCTAATCATTCGTAATTATTTGGTCATACTTCTTCCACATATGTGATGATTTGATGAAGCATTGAACGCCAGGGAAACGGCCGCGCCCTCTCAGGGCAAATGGCATTCTGCTTCCTCCGAAGCGCCGAGAGCATATCCTCTAGAATCGCTCTAGTTGGAACAGCCAGGGCAGCTGACGATGCAAGTTTTCTCAGCTGTCACTCACAGTGAACTATATAGAGTTACTTTTCATGACTGAAATCATGGTGGAGGTTAGCTCTGTTGAAATCTATGGGTTATGTGCTTTCGGCTCCACTGCGGAGTCAGATACAGAAAATGAAGATGAATGGGCAGGCAACTCGCAACTCCTCTAGAAGCTTGTCTCGCACGAGACTATGAAATATCTCGCTGTACCCACCCGTATAGGTGAGCACAGCTACTTTGCAAAGCTGCCTCTACCCATATGATGCACCTTTAGGGCCATGCTCAGCACCTTTTGCAGGGACAACTACAACCCAAACTCTTAGTCAGCAGGGAAACCGAGTCACACATTGAAGAAGCTCAGCGTTTTGCAGGGTGGCTTCTTGTTTTACTGATCACACTTGACAAAACATGCTTCAGGATGACGATGGTGACGAAGCCCATGAATTCCTGGATGAAGATGAGGAGACTTGGACCAGCTGTGATCGATAGCCAGCAATGGCTCATCAACTACCCACAAAGCCTTCCAATTATAGACTGCTATAGGCAAGGCAGGAGTGTTGATTAGTATATGTTCTAGTTTAATGGGTATGGGACCTCGTTCGAACTTTTGTTTGCCAGCTGGTACAGCACAATCGGGGTACGCATTTTCCGCCCATGCTTTTGCACCTCCGTTTGGCCGCGCTTAGCTGCCAGGACACGGGGGAGTTGAAGGTCCGTGCCACTCAAATGCTGAAACGTTGTGGCCCGACCAGTGGCACCAGTTCCGAACAGGCGGGGGTTTCTGGGGGAATGGAGTGGATGGAGGATGGCTGGGCAGATCTTGGCGAGGAAGAGAGTCAAGTTGTTCCTTCGAAAGTAACATGCCAACCTGGACTGGGAGGTTGGAAAGATGACAACTTCCTTCATGAGGTGAAGTAATTATGGGGGTGGCTTGCAGGATGGATTCCCTTGGGTAGCGAACTGGCCGTTCCTCGTTTGACACATGTTTGACGGAGAACTTGCATGTTCCCTGGCTGAAACTGTGTGCATGACCAGGAGGCCCAGGAGGTGTGGTACCAAGTGCTGCACAATCCAGCGGTGATGATCCGGGATCAGCCAGATGAGAAGGCAAGACTGGGGTCTGCGAGGAGAGCACTAAATAGGTGCTTTCTTTGGTTCGAGTCAACATTTCATTCTGAGGGCCAGCAAGTGTCAATCATTCTCGCTGTTACACCCATGTAACTAATTGGCATATATTGCAGTATAACAGTACAGCAGTATAGGTAGGGGATTGGACACAGTTTCACAAGGAGAATTGATCAACAGGTCTTTGGCCAACACCTGAAGCCTGGAATCTTCAAGAGAACCGGTGGACATGGAGACAGATGTACTATGAAAACGTATTATATGTACTCGGTTACTGTACTCGTGTTCCGCTTTGACACCCTTCAGCAACCCGTCAATGGCTGGTGCCACTGATGCAGGCCAGGATGGTGGGTCGCAAGAAGGCCGATGAGATGGCAGTGCCGTCTTCAAACGATGGACGACCAATGTTTGCCATGTTCCATCCAAGTTTGGGGATTAACAAGCGAGCAATACCTTACCAGCAGGGGTTTGGGTACCAGTCTGTTCAAGTGGAACTGGTTTGAATGATGTTCCTTTCATGAAGGCTGCAAAGATTGAAGGCTGGTGTGATTTAGTGTTCACATTTGATTGCGCTGCTTGTGGAGATGCTCCCACCGCTCACGGTCAATTATTTGTTCATGTGCCAGAGGCTGACATGATACCACTTGAATGGGCCCAGGCAGTACACAAAACACTGAATGACCAATTTGGTGACGTGTGAAAGAATTAACGTTATATGTTATGTATAGTCTCTATATTTCCTTATCATTTGGTAGAGGGAAACACATATTTGACTGTATCTTGACATCTTTCGGCTTTCCTGTCCAACGCCCAAGAAAGGGTTAGAAGTGGTCAGAAAGAAGCGCAGGTGGGCAAAAGGCTCAGAATACAGAGCGTGAAGGACTCGTCACGGGCTGGGCTGGGATATCCTAACAGGCTTGGTTGAGATCTAAGCACGTTCAGATCGCCATGACGGGATACCTGTTGGATGAACAAGTTCATGAGCAGCGCTGTGAGGTGGTGAGCTTCACCATGCTTCCCCCGTTTTGTGAAACCAAAGTGTTTCCTCAAAGGTCTCGACCTGGAGTGGTGGTGTTTGGAGTTGATGGATGGAATCCTCCATGAGCTGGAGTATGCATATGGACTGGGGAAGATACAGCACAGGCATGGGGGCATCGGCAACGTGTCTTTTCAGGGCTATCGAACAGATTCCCACCTGGATGATTCGATCAGGTTCTCCAAAGTTTGACATGAGTGTGACTGCATAGCCGCTTTGACAGGTTTCACTGATCATTCTCTCAATTCTTATTGGTGGAACTCTAAAGTCGACCATTTCTTGCGGAGAAGATTTCTGGTGCGCAGGACGGCAAGTGGCTGCAATTGCACCAGTCCGAGCTGGTGAAGCTCGGTGTTCAGGAGGCATGGCTGCGGGCAGTTCTGGACTGGAAGATGTGCTATTTTGGTTTGCTATGAGGTTGGAGGCCATCGCGATTAGGTTGGAGGCCATGGCTAGTAGGTTGGAGGCCATCGCGATTAGGTTAGAGGCCATCGCAATTAGGTTGGAGGCCATCGCGATTAGGTTGGAGGCCATCGCTAGTAGGTTGGAGGCCGTCGCGATTAGGTTG